GCTGGGTTATGGTAGTTTCAATTTAACAACAACAAAAAAAAAACAGAAAAATACAACTCTAGATGTATTATTATTTGTGACATGGCTCAAGATGGGAGACTGTGAGGAGAGTGAAGATGACAGAACTGGTGCTAACCACTGTGACAAGAACTTGAAGAGCAGCCGACATGACATCTTTCCTATCATGCTGCCGAAAATGTCAACTTTGTGAAGGACAGTGAGAAAATGGTTTGCCGAAAACTTGAAAGGTGGATTCCGGAGATGCCCGCCGTGTCAGATGCGATATAGTCTACTGTGGCTGGAGAGACCCATTTCTGGCTCCAGTGATGGCCTGCAGGTGGGAGAGCTTCCAGTCTTCAGCACAGCTCCAAAAATGACTGCACTTGACCTGCATATTGTCTCAAGTTTGCGGGACCATGATATACAAGAAGTGGGTTGTTAGCCAGTATGCAGTTAGGTGAAACCAGAGACCAGGGGCTATGTTCACGTGCGTGTGCACACGTGTGTATGGGTTTCTAAAGCTAAGTTCAAAGGCATCGTCTATTAAAATTTGAAACATTGTGAAGGAAGGGATATGGGCTTTATTAACTTACATCAAGTTCAATATAAGTAACAAAAACTAACTCTGGATAATCTAAGCAAAGGAGAATTTATTAGGATGATGCTGGGGGCCTCAAAGACAGGGAAGGGAATGCTGGAATCAAGTCAGCTATGGAAGAGTAGAAAGCAGGACGGATGCAATGGTTCTTACTGTATGTTAGAGTAACATGGGAAACCTTAAAAATGCCAATGTCAAGCTGGGCACAGTGGCTCATGCCTGTAATGCCAGCATTTTACAAGGCTGAGGTGGGAAGATCGCTTGAGCCCAGGAGTTAGAGACCAGCCTGGGCAACATAATGAGACCTTGTGTCTGAAGAAAATAAAAACAAAATTAGCCGGATGTGGTGGCATGCTCCTGCAGTCCCAACCTCTCAGGAGGCTGCAGTAGGAGGATCGCTTGAGCTTGAGATGTCAATGCTGCAGTGAACCGAGACTGCGCCACTGCACTCCACCTTGGACTGAATGAGACCCTGTCTTGATAGATGATTGATTGATTGATTGATTGATTGATTGATAGAGCTTTGAGGATGGGACCGTTCACAATTCTAATTAACAGACGAGATCAAAAACTACTGACCTGTAAGGACAGTCTGGTCAAGGCACAGCTGCTGGAACACGCAAATTCCATCTGTTTCTTCAAGCCTTGTATCATTTATTCAATGTAAAGATTCCAGAGGAGAATGTCCTGGTAGCTGAACTGAGGCCATAGTCCACCTTAGATATGGAGTGGCTGTGAAAGGGAGAGGCTGGCCTCTAGGAAGCCCTTCAGCATTAATAGTAGGGGAAGGGCAGCTTGATTTACCCTCACACGAGAGTGGTCAGAATGTGGCTGAGGCCACTCCTCCAAATCCAGGGCTTAGAAAGTGGCAATGGATGCTAAGGAGCCTGAAAGCAAGAAGACCAGAATATTCACGGTCAGGACACAAGAGGGTGAGAGAGTCAGGCTTCTAGATAGGTGTTCTATGTAGAGACACATATCAGCCTGGAATTTTCTAGCTCGCAGTTTAAAATCCAGCTTCACCCCTCCTCTTCTTTCACTCTTTGTGTCTCCTTAAGTGAGTTAGTATTGAGAAAGGAAAAAGATGCAGAGCTAGTTTTATGACAGTTGTAGAATCACCCCCAAATATTTTCAGAAAGACAAAACAAAAGCATGGCGTCTGAAAGATACCAATATAGTTCTACTATTTATTTTGCAACCAGCACTACTTGGAATGGCACCTTGTAAACAATACAAATGCCACTTTTGGAAAGGATTCATAGTTAAATAATATCATGTATCTCTTGCAGAATATCTTGGGTTCCAAATCCACTCCAACCTAAGAGAAATCAGGAACCCTGAATCAAAACCCTCTCTGCCACTGGAAGAACCACCCACCTAATATTTTTTTTTTTCTCTAGAACAGTGGTTCTTAGAGTGTGGTCCTCGAACCAGCAGCACTAGCAGCACCAGAAAACTTGTTAGAAATACAAGTTCTCAAACCCCACCCCAGCTCTACTGAATCAACAACTTCAGGGGACCCACCAATCCAGGTTGTCACCAGGTGATGCTGTGGCTCACTCAAGTTTGAGAACCACTGCTCTAGAAAAAGTATCTTGTTGCTTCTGTGGAAAAACAGTGCTCTCCAAAGCACGAAACCTGAGTTTTTCAATTAATAACTCTATAGAGATCTATCCAAACCTGTATAGTTAACACTGCCGAATTATAGGGGTCAATGAACAAGAAATTGATGTTTGACAGAATTTTCTAAAACAATGAAGCAAAATCAAACGCAAAAAAGAGGATCTTTTTGCTTTTTAACTGACCTGGTTACAACCTGTAATCTTTGACAAATTGCTATTCCTGCATGTCTTTTCCTCACTTGGTAAAGCAGCATCACCTGTTACCAATACCATTTCAGAGCAATTCTGGCAGTTACAAACAAATTTACATTTTATGTCAAAATCATTCGACATCAAATTGTTTTATCACCTGCTTTTATGGGTTAACTCTGTACTTGTATCTTACAGACTTAGTCAAGTGAGTTTGTTTTATTTAAAATAGAAGTAGTCACGCTGACATGGGTGATCAAGAAGCAAATTTAAGAGACAACAACACTAATTTTTAGTTGTTTACTTTTATTGGAATAGCAAGATTAATGGTGTTCAGAAAGTAGTCCGAGGAGAGGTTATCAGGGAAGCAGAAGCTGCTATCTGATACTTTTAATAATTACAAATGGGAATCATGAGGACAAAAGGAAAAAACATAATCCAATGTTAGGTTTGTAATAATATCCCTTATAGTGAGAATTGACGGAGAAGGCCAAGCATACACTAAATGTTCAGTTTTTATCATCTCAGACACAAAGCAGAAAGCTGCCTTCTAATTGCCTAATTGCCTTAGAAGGCTTGTAGGGTAATGAATGAATGGTTTTATTCACAGAGAGATTTATCTCCTAACAATGACCACACATATCCTGGCTCTTCATGTTAAACAGTCTCCATGCTTTTTGCTGTGATATGTAAACCCTTTCTGAACTGTAAAATTATATTTAACAGCATTTTTCTCTAGGTTAATTCGCCACTAAGAAACAAAATGCTTTAAATTGCTCCATTTTTCCCCTAGTTGAGTGTGTGCATGCACATGCTAATTATATAAACAAATATGTGTTCAGTTCATTAACAAGCTGAATTTTGGTTAAAAAAATTTAAAAACCACAGCTTAAGGAAGTTGTAGATTGTAGCATATACGTGAAAAGTTACAAACAAAAGCATGATGTGTTTTGTGGAGGCCAATAAATTCATCCTGATATCTAACTGTAGATTCATGGACATTTCATGTGAAAAAATTTTGTTGTTGTTGTTAAGCATGGTAGCTTGCACCCATAATCCCAGCTACTCAAGAGGCTGAGGCAGGAGAATCACTTGAGGCCAGGAGTTCAAGGCTGCAGTGAGCTATGATCACACTGCTGCACCCCAGCCTGGACAACAGAACAAGACCCTGTCTCTTAAAAAAATGTTTAAATAAACTTTGTAAATTAACATTTGAGATTTACCAGAGAATTTGAAGACAACCTACCTGTTGTTTATCATTCTTCCTTTCTTTGGAAGAGTATGAAGAAATGGACTGAACAGGATTTTACTGTTTGGGGGTATTTTTTATAAAGTGGGGGAGAGAAAATTTTCTCATATTTCAAATAGGGTGTTTTTATTATCAAAAAAGAAGGAAAGCTGACGATTAACCCGTAACAGGAGGTACATTGCTGTCATTTGCCAAGTCTTTTGTGCAGTCAGACTGGTCTGGTATAAAGGATTTTCCCAACTTATGCTGGATCCTTGAGAAGGCCTATAAATAAGACCATTTGTTTGGTCTCAAGATGACTTGCATTTGCAAACTGAAGAATGTTCCAATAGAAGTTTTATGGTGACACACCAATCTGCAAACTGGCTCAGCCAGTAGTCAAAACAAGTCACTATGAGATCTGGGAAGCTGAAGGCTCTGAATGGGTCAGATTATCCTGCATTTAGTTTGGAACAGATAAATTTGGGCTATAAATATGTATCCTCCCTTTATATTTTCAACTTGAATGGTCCATAACAAATTAGAGGATATATGTACACACCTAAAGGTGGCACAGAACCATGAGAATACAATGATCAAACTGAAATCATTTATTTAAGCTGGAGTCCTTTTTATTACAATGAGTAACAATTTGCTACAATTGGAAAATATGTGGTTTGTTCTTCAATGAATACATGAGCACTTAAATAAATCTGAACATCTGTAGTTATAAGCAGGAAATTGAGCCATTTAAGACGTTTAACACTGGGAAAGACAAACACAGGTCACCTGATTTTTGTAGGAATTTTTGTGCGTAATTTAGGGACCCCAAACCCAAGCACCTACAATTTAGCAATATGGTAATACAATTACCTACACCTACAATTTACACCTACAATTTAGCAATATGGACCAGGTGAGTGTCTGTCCCAGGGACAGAAGAAGCTGTTAGCCACCAATTGATAATGCCAGCTGTTCCAAATTTTCAAGAAAACAGAAATCAGAATTGCATTCTCAAACTTCCCCAATTTAAAAAAATGTTGGCAACTGGTTCAAATTTCTTAAAAAGCTGTGAGCCAAACCGAACAAGTTCGGGGGCTGGACTTAACCTTCAAGCCACCAGTTTGTACATTTTACCATTTCACACGAAATGAGCTACAGCTCTGCACATGTTTCCAAAATGATAACCCAAACACAACCCATCCGCTTTGGAAGCCAGCCCTGACTAGCTGGGCTTCTCCTTAGGTCACATCGATCATTGTAGTTGTTTCTTCTAAAATGGACAGTTTCCTCCTGCTAGAGATTTGATTTGATGGTGTCAGCATATGAGGTTCCCGTCATTTCATGACATGTCTTCTTTCAGGCCTGATGGAATCGGAACTGTGACTGTTGAAGAAAAGGAACGTTTTGAAGAAATCAAAGAGAGGCTCCGAGTTCTGCTAGAAAATCAGATTACACATTTTAGGTAAGGATCTGGGGCTGGAGGGTTTTAATTAGGAGATGAGAGTGGGAAGGAAAACTAAAGGGCTTAGTTTTTCCAAAACTGTAAATCTACCAGAGGATGCATTGGATATTTTGAAATAACTGAGTAGAACAAGCAAATCAATCAGACATGGTTCCGCAATAACCAGGAAACTTCGTATTCTTAAGTTCATGTTATTTCCACTTAAAGAACAAATTCTTCCATGTTTGAGCTCACCCTGGTCATCAGTCTGTTATAAAAAGTTGAATTTGAAGCTTCCTCAAGGGTCCTGAATAAAAATAAATAAATAAAAAATCTTGTGAATCAGAGCATAGTGAACAAGGAAGGAAGGCAGTGGTACTCCTAGGAGAGTCTCCACTTTCTCCACTACCTCAGAAACAGGACTAGCTGGCTACACAGGGAAAGAATGAACCTTGGATCAACCTGGGTGGGTTGAATCTCCCCTGCATACTCAAGAGAACCAGCAGGTTCTGCGCTTGAATCTTACGCCACATAGCCCACTTCTCCCTTGGAGCAAATTAGGTGTTTTTAGTGCTGTCCTGGTGGTTCTGGACCAGAGATCCTGAAATAGCAACTGAAAAATAATAATAGCATTTCTAATGGTTCCTGTTTATTAAATACTTCCTATATACCGATACAGAACTGGAGGCTGGAGAAGTATTAACTCATGTCATAACAACTTCGTTAGTTATCATAATCCCCATTTAAACCAGGAATAAAATGAGGCTGAGAGAGGTTAAGGAACTTGCCCAGGGCAATCCAGCTGGCAAGTGGAAGAAGTGGGATGCTTATATAAGATAGTCTGGGTTTCAGTAGCCATACTAGTCTCTCTGTCCCAGGCACAGTGTTCTGAAGGACTGGTGACAACCTGAAACCAGTCACTGGAACTCGTAGTGGTACCTGACATAGTTTTTTTCTGTGGCATCAAAATCCTCCTGGATAAATCTTTATTGACCATACACTATGTGTAAAATGCATTACCAGTAGCAGAAGGTCCATAACAATAGGAAACCACAAGCAGGGAAGGACAGCTAGCAGAATCATGAATTTGCTCTAAATCCACTTTTCTATTCCATATATCGATCTTTTGGGGTCTTAAGTAAGTATATTTGAATTTCAGCCTGTTCCAACTAATACTTTTTTAATGCTGGTCTCGATAATAACATATAAGGTCACATTTGAGCTAACGAATAGTTCTCCTTCACAATAGAAATCTAAACAGAGCCTTATGTCACCACTCTGAATATTCTTTTCTGCTGCAGACATTTGCAGAGTCCCTCTTTAGTCATTATTCACACATACACATATATACATTATATACACACATATATGGTGTGAATTCAGATTAACATAACACAACGTGACAAAATAAAAAGCATTTTCCATTCCTCAGAGAGAGTTGCTATAGGAATCAAATTGCAGCATATTTCATGCTAAAATGTAATAATTTAGGCAACCTGAAGAATTTTGTCTTTTTTAGGTATTGCTTTCCATTTGGTCGACCTGAAGGTGCTTTGAAAGCTACTCTCTCACTCTTGGAAAGGGTAAGAATGAAAGTAAAAGATAGATCACGTATATATAAAAAGACATAAGCATAATTGTAACGAAATGTTTTGGTTGAATGACCTAGTTGTAATTTTTATAGGATTTGTTTACCATTCATCAAATATCAGAATAGAAGCGAGGAAACTGCCAAAACTCTTGATATTTTATCTTCAAACTCCCAAATGGGATGTACAGAAGATATGTTCCTAGCCCTTCCCTGATTAATGGGCGGCCTTTGCCAATGCTTTGCAATTCTGGTGCTTTCTCTTTAAGCATGGCTCTCAATCCGTATTAAGTCACAAAGAACTGATTTTAAACTTTCACACTTCCAAGAAGTATGGATGAGTGACACATTTGCTTGAACCTTCTTAATTATCCCTCTTTTTCCTACTTGAAGGTTTTGATGAAAGATATTGTTACCCCAGTGCCACAAGAGGAGGTGAAAACAGTCATCCGTAAATGTCTGGAACAGGCTGCGTTAGTCAACTATTCTCGGCTCTCAGAGTATGCCAAAATCGAAGGTAAGGCTCCCTTCTGCCCCCAGTTTTGAATTTAAATTTTGCTATGCCTCCCTGGGGAAGTCTTTCTCTTTTCTGAAGGGCACCCGAAAACAGTGGTCCATCTGAGTATATTAAGCTGAAACCTGGAAGCACTTGAAATGTGGAAGTTTCCTTGGCTGTGGCCAAGGAAATGAATTAAAAGACATCACAGGGGCTCAGAAAACAGCCTTTGTAAGGGAACAATATTGAAAACAGGATGTTATCAGATAACTAAGGTCCTTCTGAGAGTCTGTGTTGGCCCTAAGTGTCGGCTTTGTGGCTGATGTTTTCCTATAAAGGAATTCTCTAGAATTGCCACCTTCTTTAAACAGAGGAAAATAAAGCAGTCTGTTGTCCGCTGCTGATACCATTGGAAGCAATACAAGAATTGCAAAGAGCAAGATCAAGGTTTTGCCTCTTTCTTGCCCCTGAAAGTACCTTGTCCTTTGGTAGTGTTTCAAACTCAATGGCAGGTTAGTGCTGAGCCATCTATGATGGCTCCAGGTTGGCTTTAGATCTCATTCATTGTTGTTACACCAGACCTTAGATGCTTGTTACCACTGCCCTCTCAAGTTTTAGGGAAGTGGTCACTGATGACCCAGTAATCACCAAAGGCGCTTTGAGTAAACTCTACTTGAGAAGATATGGTTCTTTGGGATCTATTCATTCATGAAGGTATTAATCACTTTTCATTGTTACCCTGTTGGCTGCTATAGGGTGATTTGAAAGTCACACCCAACTTGACCAGTGGTGTAAGTGTATAAATGTGGAAGTTCTGTGTGCAAAACTCAATGTGTCCGCATTCTGGAATCTGATGTTCTCTCACACATGAAACATGACACCTGACTAAAACTAGCAAATGCGCATTGTCTGCCTCAAGACAACTGGGGGGAAAAGAAACTAACCAACCACCCAGACCCCATCACTTACTCTGCCAAAATCCTTGTTTCCTTAGACAATTAGGTTAAGAGTATGTCAAATTCACAGTGTTCTGTACATTACACGTCCTCCCTCTCTCAATTTTGTCTGTCTGACAATGCAAATTGTGTACCAGTGGTAATGAATTCATTGTTATGCATCCAGGGAGAAACACTTAAGAATTGGGCACCAAAAGGATGTTTATCAACTCTTGACTTGGTAATGAGTGACAAAAATAGAGGAAAAAGAGGTTGTTAAAGGACTATATTAGCAAATAATTGTTCCAGCATTTACTGTCCCAGGATGTAATGATTGGTTGTATTTGGTAAAGTCAGCCAGGTACCTAACAATTCTAGGCAAGGCCAGAGATGGGATGGGATCAAGAAACGTTCTGTTGCCATGGCTGCTGCCTCATAGGTCTTGGTCTAGCTATTACTAGTCTTTTGGTAAGATCTGCTCTCTTCTTTCAGATAAATCTATCCAAAAACAAACTTTAAGATCTGTAAGTAAAAATGCATTCATTTCCAAAGTAGATCAGCTGGTCTGTAATTTCCTTTTGTGCCTCAATTCTTCTTGGTTGTGTTAATTATCTTTTGCACTGTGACTTTTAGGTCTGGGGATTCTTTGAAGAAACCAATTCTTTTTTTTCAACTCTCTTTTCAGAGAAGTACCTCATTGCACACTACCTGCTCTCTTCTGCTTCTCTCCTTCCTTGTCCGTGATTGGCTCAGCCACTTTAATGTGACCTCTGCAAAAGTGTCTGAGACACCAATTTCAAAGCATGCTGGGATTGTTAATTCAGACAACCCAACATCCTCTGGCTGCATGTATCAGGTTTTCTTTCATGAACATAGTCCACCATAGGCTGAGACATTGCAGCCTGAAAGATATTACTAACAGACAACTTTCTTTTACAAGGCTCTGATCCTACCCGCAGAGAAGAAATCTTTCACTTTTTACATTTGAGCCCCTCTGTGAGAATTAACAGCTTAGTTATCTGAGAATTCTGGAAAGAAGTTGTAGTAATATTGCTGGAGACTATGTTTATGAAGAAATACCTCAAGAGCCTTAGATACTAAAGTCTGAAATCCTTAGTATCTTGGAGCCTTAAATCAATGAAATTTTGTTTCCCTTTACTCATGATGTTTTGGTCATTGTATTCTTGCAAACAGCTCTAAAGAGACGTGTAAAATCATGGTCACAATCTCTCTCGTGACTCACGGCATGCTGAATGGTTAATCCAGTAGATCTCCAATTTTGAAGCTCCTTTTTCTTTTATCCTGTGTTTATCCCAAAATACTCTGTGGCTATTTTCCTTTGAGCTAATGTAACGTTTTCCTCTAACCTATGACCTTTAACCTCTTTACCTCTGACCTAAGCCTCTTGCATGCCCAAATCCTCTTTTATAGGGAAAAAGAGAGAAATGTATGAGCATCCTGTCTTCTGCTTGGCCTCCCAAGTGATGGATTTAACCATTCGTGAGTACCTACCACCTCCTCACCATGCTGTCTTCACTCTTTCTGTTTTCATTATTTCAAGAAAATCCAGATCCAAACCAACTCACTCTCCTTGCTTCAAGTTTTTTAGCATTGGCTTGTCTGTTGGTTCTGTCTGTGAAACCCAGTGTGAGAAGTCCAGTCACTTTTTAGCAGCCTAAAACAGGTTAGACAATTAAGCCATTTGTTTGTGATAAACTCAGATTTGTCTGTAAGTTTTTCAGTTATTCTCTGTCTGTGACCTGAATGCATTTTTACTTTGCTTGTGTGTAACCCTAATTTGTAAAGTGCTTGTCACTGGTACACAATCAAAAGGTAGCAGCTAGGCTGGGGAGCAATGCGTTAGGTGTCAGATAAAGGACATTTGGGGCAAAATCATGCCTTCTTTTCCATGTTTAAGATGCCAAATTATTATGGGTATGAGATCACACCAGGTGGTCCATTCTTTGTAAAAATTAGATCTTATATGCCTCCTGTCTGTTCTCTATCAAGCTGGGAAGCTTTTCCTTGTTCCCTCTGGAGATTTTGACTTGTCCTTGTCCTCTAAACTTTGCCTAGAACATATGACTTAATTGTCACTTGGAGAGTTCATGTATGTTTCATAGCTTGATTTCACATTAAACTTAATTTTACTAATTTTCTATTTGTGCAGCATTTTCCACCTCTGTGAAGGAGACTTTTTTTGCTGGCCCCCAAACTTTGGGGCAGTGGGAACCCAAGGGCAACTTTTTCTTTCCAATATCATGTATCACACATAAGTGGGGGGCATTTTGGTCCACTTGCTCATTAATTCTGCATATGTGTTCTTGTTTCTCTCTCTTCTCTCCTTGTTGTGCTCTCTCTTTCAAATAGAGAATCAAAAGGATGCAGGTGAACCAATTGTATATGCATTATAAATTATCAGGACTGTTGAGTTATATTCAGTTTTTGTTTTTGTTTTTCAATAGCTCCTTAAGGTATGTACTCCCAGAGAGCCATGTGGAGTTGCAATAATACTTAAGGAGTTAATTTGTGCTGTCTAAATACATCTCATGCCCATTTGATGTTGACCTTTATAGAGCAGAATTTCTGAAAAGGCATAAGCTTTAAAGGAATAGAATTCTGGTTTGCTGCAGAGCTTCATTTCATCCTTGGTTATAGGATTCCAGTGATTTGGCCTCATGTGCATTTTTTAAAAAGTTATTTAACCAAATGAATCTTCCTCTTTGTTTTTCATTTCTTTTTTCTGTTTTCTGCCCTATTGAGAAGTTCGTGTTCTTTGATGAATGTTTATCAGCCAAGACAGAGAGAAGTTGTGTCCATGTTGTTCTTGTATGTATCGCGTGATAAAGCAGGAAGCATGGACAGGATGACCAAACAGGGGCTGTTGCTGGAAGTTTTATTAGAGGAAAGCTCTTGGAAAGTTCTGGCTTTGGAAATTTTCTTCTTGTTTGGTCCCAAAACTTCTGATCCTATTTTGAGACTAGGTCTGACTTAAAACTTTAATAAATTAGAATGCAGATCATCGTTTTTATAGTCTAAAGGGTTGTCAAAAATAACTATCAGTTAATCCAAATTAACAGTTGAGCACATTTCAAAACAATTCAGAAAGCATTCCTGAGTACATTCCAAGCATAGGGATACCGATAAGTATTTGAAGACTCATAAACCTATGTTCAAGACACATGAACCTTTCTCTCTGGTAGGAAGATATTTATTCAATCATTTATTCACTCATTCATTCATTTATTAGACAAATGGTTAGTGGGAGCCTACCCTGTAGCAGGTACAGTGTTAAAAGCCAGAGACTATGTAAACAAGAGGGAAATAGCTGTTAGCCTCATGGAGTATGTGTGCAAATGGGTGTATATATGTAAATAAGTATATTGCAAAGCCTATTGGTAGAGTTATGTGTAAGAGGGATGGGGCATTGTCAGAAAACCATGGAAGTCTTCAAGAGGTGGTAAGGATTGAACTGCATCTTGAGAGATGAATTAGAATAAACGAAGGGGAGCTAGGATTGGGAATGGAAAGTCATCCTACATCAAGATAGTAATATGTGCAAATATGTAAAACCAGATAGCTAATAAAAAATAATGAATGCTTATTTAATGCATATCGTGTTCCAGGTATGATTCTAAGCATATTATTAACTTATTTCTCCTCAAAAGCCCTTATAAGAGGGAACTATTATTACTCCCATTGTACAGATGAGCAAACGGAGGCACAGAACTTAAAAAACACACATCCAGAAGTATAAGTGGAGTAGCTGGAATCTGAGCCCAGACAGAAGCCACCCTTTTAACTACTCTGTAATTAATTCAACATAGCTGCAAAACAGAGTGAAATGATGATAGTAGTGGGTGGGTGCTGATGATGGCAAGGTAGGCAGGGACAGGACTTCAAAGGTCTTTCTATGCCATAATAATGCTGAGTTCAGACTGTATCTCGTGGTTCAAAATTTCTTAACTTGAAAATCATGCCAACTTTTGCATGCATATGGATTTTTTCAGAGGAAAGATTCCACAGGTCTCAACTGCAAAGGTGATGAAGAGTCACTGAAGGCTGTTTATGCAAAGGGATAGGTTGGTGGTTTACACTGCAGAAAAATCACACTAGCAGGAATTAAGAGAAAGGACTGAAGAGAGGGAATAGGGTAGAATTGGACTTAAAAGTTAAGGTTAAAGCAGAGATGGGTTTGAAGCTTGGTATAGTGAAGTTTTTTCTAAGTATATCAGGTCTCAATTGCAATCATAATCATAATTACTTCTTCCCTGGCCTTTAAATTTTTTCTTTCATACCCCTTCCCTCCCCTTTCAATTTTCTTAATGAGAATAGAGCACAAATTCATGGATAGGTCTGCATAACCAACTGTATGGAGGTGGTAGGGCACCACCGGAGTTACACATGCAAATTGTGGGGAGGTGGATAGAATACTGGGGACTGAAATATGGACAGCTGCTGAGTCCTTTAGTCAGACTATGCTTTAAGAATCTACAGGGCTATGCAGATGGCATTTTGGTGGACTTATGCTTTATGTCTGGTGGCATTATTAGAAATTAAATGTTCAATTTAATTACAGTACCTCCAAAAAAAGATGCAAAAGCCTGCTAGTCTATGAAAGAAAAGCTGTGACTCCTGCAAATGAATTCTATTATTTTAAATACATTTCCATTTAAACCGTCACACATTCTGAACCAGAAAGCTCTGAGAAAGTCT